TGGTTCGAACCAGGGATAGTTTCAGTCACCACTCCTGCTTTCAACAACAAGTCCTCAAGCGTCATTTCGCCTAGTGTAGGCTGCTTATCTCTCCTCTCATGAGCATTATTACCACCATTCTTGTTCTGCTGAATGTCTTTCCAGACCTCATCAACAGTCTTTTTGCTAAGATCTTGTGGCAAAGTCAAACTCCCCTGCCGAGAAAGACCTTCCTGAGGAGCACCACCATTGACAGCCATGGACGTTGGCTGATTAGCTTCAACAGAGCAGACACTCTTGAGTAGCTCGTCAAGATTCATGCTTCCTAATGCTTTACCAGAACTCCCCAAGTGGTTTTGAACCTCATCGAGTGTTAAGCTATAAAGAGAACCTTGCCTATTCAAGGACTGAGATTTAGGTTCTTCAACAATACCCCTCTGAGAATCCATAAGCTTAAAGCTTTTGTAAGGAAACAAACAAACAACAATTCCGAGCCTACAAATCAGAAACCCTAATCTCAACAAACAAACCCAGAAACGCTCAATTTGATAAACGGCTACACCAGGAAGGAATTCATCAAATCGAGTCTAAATCCGAGGTAAAGGTAACACCTTTTCTCTAATCGTCAAACATGCAGCAGAGAGACAACAAAACCCAGATGTCAAATCGGAAGGAAATGGCCGAGAAATCACCGCGTTGTAGCAATCGGAAAGAGTATCGGGAATTGCATGCAGCATCGAGAGGTATCAAATGCAGATACTAATCATGGGAATCGAAACAACATCGAGACGGAGAGAGAGAGAGAACAAACGCTTGAAAGGAAGAAGAAGGGGAATCAAAAAACAAAGCCGAAAAAGCAAGAATTTTTGCCAAAAAGGGTAAACAAAATCGAAGCTTTAAAAAGGAAGGACCAGATCTAAAACAAAGGGGAGAGGTTTGGGTTTTTGTTTATAGAAGTGGTGGGTGTGAGAGAGAAAACGAAATGAAACTATGATAAGTGCGTAAAGAGAGAGAGAGATTTACAAAGCAAAAACCTAAACTCTGTGTTTGTTTCTCTCTCTCTCTTTTGTTTCGCGCAGGAGAGAAAAAGGAGAAGAAGAGAGAGAAAACCTTTTGATTTAGAAAGTGACACTCAATACTGTGACATTACCCCCAAGCTGTGGAATTTTCAATGCGTTTAATTTTTTGAAATGATGGTCTAAAGAGAGATTTCATTTAATAGTTTACTTAATTACACTCATTAGTGATTACTTTAATGAAACTGTAACGAGTTTATTCCATGGGAATAATAAAACACTACATGTGCTCGGAAACACTTCAATCAATTTGGCTATTAAGATATTGTTGGCATTTAGATTGGTTATTAAACTTTCTTTTGTGCTGACTGAATCTATTAAAATCGTTTAATCCATGTTTAAGTCAGTGAAATCTTCAAAAATGGTGGTGATGGTGATTATTACTCTGCAACTGTATTAAACAGTTTTCCAGTCAATATTCACAAGTTCTGCTTGGATCGTTTTGATTATTTCTTTCTTTTCATTGATAACAGTTTTCTGCCAAGTAGCAAGTTTTTTCCCAAGTACGTAACAAATTTCAATCACGAGTGCATCGTGGGCATGTGTGCCTGATTCAGAGAAGGCCGGCTCCATGTCAAAACCTGCTTATGTTCCCCCACAGCTACGCAGCACGCAATCAGATCCTGTGGTCAACCGGACGGGATCTCAATGGGCTCTAGGCGTGCAGACCGTGCGGTGGTGATGGCTCGGATAAGGTTATGGAGGACAAGGAGATGGTGGCTGGAACAACAGAAGTGAAGGGTGGTACCGTAAGGGACGCCAAAGTATTATCCATTTGGAGATGATGAGCTGATTTAGAGAGCGTCTTTTACCATACCAAGCAGGAGATTGCAGGCATTAAACTTTGATGCCTATGAAGATATCCCGATCGAGGCGTGCCTCCTCCTGGTAACACATGTGCAGACATAAATCTTGGGGATGCGTTAAATCTGAACATCCGAAGGTGCAAATACATGTACAGCGTCATGCGGAGAGAGGGATTTGAATCTATACAATTTGATGGCATGTACTCAGACCAGAAAGTATGTTTCTGAGACATTTAAAAAAAAACTAATGAGATTAATTGAGGTTAGTAAATGTTTACTGTTGACCATTTGTTGTTCGCTAAGGTATATAAACTGACTGTTCAACCCGCAGTCAACACTACCTGCAAGATGAATACGGATTGAGCATAATATCAGGATAGTATGCATATACACATAAAGCAAATTACAAAACAATGGAGACTGATAATACTGCAGGCAGAAAAATCAATGAAACCGTGAAGCAGAGAGATCGAATAAAAAATATTTGGAAAAACTAGAATTTGATAAACACCCACAAGGAGCATAGTTGCGTTTTGAGTTTTACAAATGAAAGTTCTAGGGCGATGTTTCAGAAAACTTGAAAATAGAGAAATAAACTCTGAAAATAGTACAATGATTTTACGAATAGCATAAAGAGAGTTGGTAGAAAAAAAAAAACAAGTAGATGAAAACTAAAACTCCTTAAAATGTTTTATGAGTTCTGGCCATACGCGACCAAAAGAGTAACATTTCATAAAGACTTCATTTGCATCAGAGCTCCTTTATAAACTTCAGAAGAATCACCAGGCCAATATTAAAACACTGATATCGGGTATCTGCACAATGAATTTAAGAAAATAAGAGAGAAGGCTTTTCACGATCTAAATCGGTGCAAAACTGAAAACCTTTCATCAGAAAACACTTTAAAAGTAACAAGCTGTTACAAAAGAATTGCAATTGTAACTTTTTTTTATCCCCAAAACTCCAATGCAAACCAAAACCGACAGGAAGTAAACCGTGTGGGTCTTCACACAGACATAGTAAGTCAGTTCCAGGTAAAGTCAGTACATAAGTGAAGAGGCGAAATTCTTCGGTTTACCTGAGTCTAAACAAGATACATCTAGTGGCCCATGTAAGGAGTGTATTGCCCAACACCATGTTGCCCTCTGCCTGTACCGCCTTGACCAGGTTGCGGAGTTTGATAGCCACCTTGCAAACCAGGTTGCGTACCGTAACCAGGAATCGTCCCAGGTGCCATACCTTGAGTACTGTAACCAGTTGGCATTCCAGCTCCAGCCCCAGGGTTTACACCTGGAGCTGTCCCCAAGGAACCCAACAAAGCCTGTCCAATTGCTGGGTTAAAAGCTAAACCAGCTCCTTGCGATGCCAGTAAAGCTAATGCCTGTCCAATTGCCGGGTTTATCGCCTGCGCCGCTGGACCACCCATACCGACTTGGTTACCAGGCATTAGATGTCCATGACCACCAGGCACACCGTAACCATTGTTATCATTCCTCTGGTAACGAGGATTGTTGTGTGTGAGAGGGTTATGGTGTTGCTGCTGCTTTCCCGGTTTAGGACCATCGATTGCTTTCTGGCAATGCAAAACATGACCTTCGAAAGTCTTGTGTGGTTCCTCTAAAGCCCTCTTGGCACTTTCAGGTGACTTATATACAAAGAGACAGAAACCTTTAGGTCTCCCAGTAAACTTATCAAGACCCAATGGACCTTCTTCAATCTCTCCGAATCTTGAGAAATACGCAAGCAATTTCTGAGGATCAAGCTCAGCTCCAACATTACTAACATAGATCTTCTTCTGCGTGTGTTCCGAGTTCGAATGTTGAGCAGGCACCACCGAAGCAGAAGCAGAAGCAGGAGCAGCAGCTACAGGGTTACCTCCAAAGACAGGACCTTTAGAAGCTAACTGACATGCAGTCATACGACTACCAATCTTCTTTTGAGGCTGCTTAAGTGCGTTACGAGCACCTGACCTAGACTTGAACAGAATAAACCCATACCCTTTAGATTTCCCTGAGATCTTATCAAAAACAGCTTTGCAATCTTCGATTTCTCCGTACTGTTTAAAAGCTTCGATAAGCGTCTCTGTTTTAGTATCCCAACCAAGACCATGAACGAAGATCTTCCGATGAACAGGATCTTCATCTGCAACTTCACGGATTCGATTCGCTACATTGAGATTCTTCTCCGCTGCTTCTTTAAGAAGACTCAGAAGCTGTTCCTTCGAAAATGGCTCTAATAGATCCTGAATCGGCTCATCGTCATCTTCATCTCCTTGATTCCCAGATCCAGACGTCGCCGCCGCCGACTCTGTACGATTACCAGCCGTTTGATTCTCAC